AAGTAGATATTTCCCAAGACACAAATAATTGAAGGATCATAGAAGAAATGTATCTAAATGAATCTTCTCTTGAAACATTCAAGCCAGCTTATTGGACTCAATATTTATGAATTCATTTCTATTGACACTCCATGGCATCATGTTAATGAAGACTATATATACACTAGCGGCCCAGTGCACAAAAATTTGTGCACTCAGGGGGAGGGGAGGGGTCCCTCAGCCCGGCCTGTGCCCTCTAGCAGTCTGGGAGCCCCTCGGGAGATAACGACCTGCTGGCTTAGGCCTGCTCCCGGGTGGCAGAGGGCAGGCCTAATCCCTAGGTGCAGCCCCTGGTCGGGCTCAGAGCAGGGCCGACTGGGGAGTTGGGGCGCCGCCCCCTGTCATGCACAGAGCAGGGCGGATTGGGAGGTTGCAATGCCACCCTCAGTCACGCTCAGGGTAGGGCCGATTGGGGGGTTGGGGCACCGCCCCCTGTCCCACTCAAGGCAGGGTCGATGGGGAGGTTGCGGCGCCACCCCCTGTCACGCACAGAGCTGGGCTAATCAGGGGGTTGGGGCGCTATCCCCAGTCACACACAGAGCAGGGCCCATCAGGGGGTTGGAGAGCTCCCCCCTGTCACGCACAGAGCAGGGCCCATCAGGGGGTTGGGGAGCTCCCCCCTGTCACGCACAGAGCAGGGCCGATCAGGGGGTTGGGGCGCCGCCACTGTCACACTCAGGGCAGGGCCAATGGGGAGGTTATGGCTCTACCCCATCACACACAGAGTAGGGCCCGTGGGTTGGGGGGCGGGGGGCGCCGCACCCTGTCACACACAGAGCAGGGCCGATCAGGGGGTTGGGGCGCCGCCACTCTCACCCTCAGGGCAGGGCCGATGGGGAGGTTATGGCTCTACCCCATCACACACAGAGCAGGGCCCATGGGGTGGGAGGGTTGGGGCGCTGCAACCTGTCACACACAGAGCCACAGGGCGATCAGGGAGTTGGGGAGCTCCCCCCTATCAGGCACAGAGCAGGGCCGATCAGGGGGTTGGGGCGCTTTCCCCTGTCAGGAACAGAGCAGGGCCGATAGGGAGGTTGTGGCCCCGCCCCCTGTCACACACAGAGCCACAGGGCGATCAGGGGGTTTGGGCGCTGCCCCGTCACGCTGATCCCGGTGCTGGGAGGCATATTACCCTTTTACTATATAGAATAGAGGCCTGGTGCATGGGTGGGGCTGGCTGGTTTGCCCTGAATGGTGTCCTGGATCAGGGTGGGGGTCCCCACTGGGGTGCCTGGCCAGCCTGGGTGAGGGGATGATGGCTGTTTGCAGCTGGTCACACACCCTTTAGGGTGGGGGTCCCCACTGGGGTGCCTGGCCAGCCTGGATGAGGGGATGATGGCTATTTGCAGCTAGTCATACACCCTTCAGGGTGGGGGTCCCCACTGGGGTGCCTGGCCAGTCTGGGTGAGGGGCTGAGGGCTGTTTTCAGGCTGGGACTGAAGCTCCCAACTGCTCTTTTTCTTTCTTTTTTTTTATTCTGGGCCAGCTTTAGCTCTGAGGCTTGGCTCCAGCTCTGAGGCCTCAGCTGCTGAAAGTAGGTATCTGGTTTGTTTCGGTTCTATAATCGAAACTCTGTATCAACTCCAGCTCTGAGATCCCGGCTCGCTGAAAGCAGGTTTCTGGGGTTTTGTTTAGATTCTATATTTGTTACAATGTTCAAACTGCAGGCTCAGAGGCCGGCAAGGCAGGCGGGGAATGTTGGAGTCCTCCGTCACTGAAGCAAGCAAGCCTCATGTTCAGTTTAAGCTGCCTGGCTGACGGCCGCCATCATGGCTGGCAGTTAATTTGCATATCGCCCTGATTAGCCAATGGGAAAGGTAGCGGTCGTACACCAATTACCATGTTTCTCTTTTATTAGATAGGATACCATAAATTATATCATTAAAGGAAAAGCCTCACTTTGACATTCCTATGTTATGAACAAATTTCCTACCACTCTGGAAATGGGAACCAGAAGGGAGTGGCAAGAAATATTCAGTGATGAATAGTAAGGACCTACAACCAAAATACCTGTGTCTCAGCGGGAACACCCGTTATTGCTTTCTCTAGTCTAATATACGTTTTTAGATTAGACTAGGTGATAAAGAATATAACTAAAGAGGCATTCACAGGAAACTATATTCCTATCCATTAAGCGAAATCTAATCTTGGGCAAAACACCCCTGCTTGTCCCTCCCACCCCCACTTCAGCCCTGCCCTAGGCTGGTAACAGGAGACATCAGGGTACCTGCCTGCTCTTCAGAGCTGTTTAACATTTGGACATTTTCTTGGTATAAAGAAACCCACAATGAAATAGTCATTATTCCAAAGTTTTTTTATTTCAAATTCATTGAAAGAAATAAAATTATATTTAAAAAAATAGAGTATTCTCACAAACTGAGGAAAGCCAGGAACAAAAAGAACAAGTACTTTTTCCTGAGAGGCAGGTCTAACAGCTGTAGAATGGACTTTCTCCTTTCTAGCTTTTGTCAAACAAAAAAATTTTTCCCCTATTTCTAAGGCATCAAAAAGCACTTGAGTGCTAATTGGGTTGTTCAGGTTCATAGCTTCAAACCCTCTAATGGGGATTAAGAAATATCAAAAACTATGATTTCCTTTATCATCAAATATTATATTGTACATACTTCTACTTTTTAATGTAAATATGAGGCTTTCACATTCATGACTGGTCATGTGACCATTTTCCGGTCATATTTTATTAAAATCTTACCACTTCTTAGTAAGAATGTCCAAAGTATCTTAGCTCACACCCCAAAAAACTGAAAGGGGCCAGACACCAGAAAGAGCTGCTCTTGATCTCACCACCTGCAGCCAAGACCAATCAGAAAGCACCCATCCTTGGAGACTCGGGGTACAGCTAGAAATTTATATACTGAAGCCTAATTCCTAAATGACAGGACCTGCCAGCAAAGGCAGATCAAATCCTAATGGTTCAAGGTAACCTACAAAACAAACATTACAAAAGTCACTTTATAGTTCCCAAAGCTCTAAACTTACCATTCCCTATACTTGATTAACCTCAGTTTTATACTGATAAACCTATCAAACTAAAAACTTTCATTCCCAAACACTTCAGTAATATAGTTGACAATGGTTAACATTTTTGTCCTATGCACAAAGGACTGCTTGTGCTCAAGTTTTAATTTTGTATAGGTAACAAGAAAGCTTGAACCCATTCTTCCAAATTTCCAATTTTTGGTTCTGATTTGAAATATTGAGTACACACTCCTAATGATTTTCCTAAAGCTTCTTTTCTAAGAGAGTTAAGTCAATTCATGTAACTGGTAACCATTAATTCCATGGTGACATCAATTTCTGAAAGATATTTTTTAGTAAATAAGAGATTAAAATGTAACACCTATTATAGGTGCTTAAGGATTCAAGTGACCTAACTGCATCTCCAATTAGGTTAATTATATAACATTGATCAGCTATTAAAGATTCAGTAGGATCTGTGGGTATCTCCTAGATCAGCGGTCACCAACCTTTCCGACCTCACAGACAGGTGAGGTGACCTCTAGGTGACTAGGACAGGTGACCTCTGTCCTAGTTCGTAATTCAAAACACCCATTACCAGTAGGTCACTACTCCAACCCAAAGTAAACTGGTGTTGGACCCTAATGGAAGCCCCTATTCTGTCTCCTGGCTCTATAGGGAGTAAACCCTCTTGGGACAGTGGCTCTCATGGAACAACAGTAGGCTCCTGTCACTTGCAAAAGGACTCATGGCCTTATTAATTGCCAAGTTTCAGAGCACTGTGATGTCTTCTGCCCAGGAGAAGAGCACAGACAGCACGCTTCCATCAATCCAAGGGGACAACTTGAGTTACATGCTGGTTACATTGTCCCAGGTCCTAGTATGAAACAGCAATGTGCTCAAAAATAACCAAGTTCAAATGAGATACCTGGTAACACTAACTTTTTAATCAGACAGGACTCAGTCTCTTGTCACGAGCCCAGGTACGTGTACACACACTCAAACACAAACACACACATACACACAAAAAAGAGAGAGAGAAAATAACTCAAAAGAGCCAAAATAGTTTAGCTAGAATTGTGCTGATTAAAAAAAAAAAAAAGTCGACAAGGACAATAAAAAACTACCAACATTAATACAAACCAGACTAGAGATTCCCGACTTGAGTAACTGCCATTTTTTTAGTCTCAATAAAAATGTCAATATCCTGAGTTTTATCAGTATTTTCTTTCTAAAATAATTTATGGGATATAAAAGTATACAAATAACTAAACAGAAGCAGTGGTACAAAAAGTGTGGAAGAACAGTTCACTAACTAGAAAAAGAAATATCACAAAAATATAAAAAGATGCATTTAAGTGAAATAAATTAAAGGTTAAACCTTACACTTTCAAGTTTTCTTAGACTATAGTTTTGGGAGTTGATGATGCATTTTTCTAATAATCACTTGGTTAAGTTCAAATAATCCTTCCAAGAAGTTTTTGCCTTTAAAACTCATGGCCACATGGCAGATATTTCAACACAGGTGAAAATACCTGCTGAATTGTTATTTCCAAATACTAATCAGTAGCTTCTGTGATCAAACTACTAAGACTTTATCTATACTAATTTGGCTGTCAAAATGGTATTTTTTTTTAAATGCTTCCTTTACTAGCATCTGCAAAAACTAAAATTTTAGTACATAAGTTTCCCTAAACTACTGAGTTGTTTGGTGGTGTTTATAAAAATACTAAAAAATGCCAATCCAATAACCCAAAGGGTATCCCAAAAGCATAATTCTAATATCCTTTACTTTTATTTCTTAAAAACCTATTTGCTAAGTGTTATATTTTTAAACCAAATGGCTACATACTGCCTTTAAAATGCAATGGGGTTTCTTTACTTAACCTGACACTGCTACTCAAAAACTTGTACTTGTTGGGGAAACAGTACTACCTATGCTAAACCAAGGTTTATACATAACATCATTCCAAATTACAAAGTGGTTGGTTTCTACAGCCCTAAGGATTTTTAATACATAATTTAGAATGAAATCACAAATAGATTATCACAAACAGCATTCAATTTTTCTTAATCCAATTAACCATTTCCATTAAAATCCAGAACCTTCTGAATGACCTGCCAATTCTTCATTCCTTTTGTCAACCTTTAAAAAAAAGCATTTCTTGGGAAGTCAGGATTTATTAAGAACATCCAGGTCTGGGACTTTTTTTTTTTTTTTTTTTTTTTTTTTACCATATACCTTAAAAATTTGTTTCTTTATCCCAATATCATTTAAAACCAGAAATTTTAACTACATGGCTAACAATTTTAGCTAATTAACTCTTCAGTGCTGATCCTAGAAAACAACCTTCAATGGATCTTTTGGGTAATGGAACAAGACAATGTTCAGCCATTGATATGAGTGGTGTAGGTTGTCAACACCTTTCATGTTCAAGCCACAAGTTGTGAAGTTGGGAAGAGGTGCAGTCTACTGTCCTGCATTATCAGAACTTGTCATACTTTCAGTGTTACTAGGTTGCACGTTGTCTGCAAGGTTGTGCGCATGCTCAAGAAACAAATCTTTCAGTACACTTAATTCCTTAGTCAGCAATTTAATTTTTGCTTCCAACCGTTCATTCTCTTCTTTGAGCTGATTCACTCTCTGCAGGGTATCCTGTGCTTTCTGCTTGCTTTTCAACCTGCTCTTTTTCACAGCCATGTTGTTCCTCTCTCTGCGTTGACGATACTCATCACTGTTTCGATCCATGGGTGAACTCTTTTTACTTTGCTTGCTTGGAGGCACAGCCTTACCTCCTCCCCCAGGGCCAGCGGGCACCAGCTGAGGAACCTGCTGTAAGCCGCTGGCATGAGCCGGAGTATGAATAACACTTATTCCATTCACTCCTGGAGTACTGTTCTGCTGCGATATCTTGCTCATTTGGGCACTCTCTCTTGCCAACACAGAACAGGCAGAAATGAGGGCACGACAATCAATGGTTTCCACTCTACACAGCCAAGAAATCTTCACATGTACCTAGTTAAAGAATAAATTGCATTAAAATATTTGAAATGACAAGATCAAATGAGAATAAACTTGCATGTACCTAACAGCAGGCCAACATTAATTATGCTGGGAAAAGTCTACAGTGACTGCCAACTGTTCCAATGTTTCAAAAGTCTAAACCAGTATTAAGAAAGGTAAGTTACTACAGAAACACCATAAGGCCAAATGCAGCCCACCTGAATCCCTGAGGGCATTGCCCATCTGTGACTATTTTCAAAAATGGGAGGAAAAACACAAGAACACCACTAATTAGGCAGCACATATGAACTAATAGTACTCGGCAATCTGCCAGAGAGAAATTTGAGATTTTGATTTGAACAGGGAATAGCTGAGTTCAATTATAATAGAAGAGACACCTGCAATGAAAGGGGGGGGGGGGGGGAACATTTCAATTGTTGGTTGAAGTCAAAATAGAATGCTGCAGCAGAATGCCCCCACTCCAGTATTCATCAGGAATACTGTCCTAGGATCGATGCACGTTCCTTATTCCAGTATGCAGAGAGTGAGTCATCAAGGACTTGACTTTTCTCCCAGAGGATGTTTTATGGGATATTTTGAAAAGGTGGGGTGTTTGGTGTGTGTGTGTTTTTTTTTAATGATTTCAAATATTAGTAGTTTACAGAGATTTCCTAAGTTAGTTTCTTGAATCATAAATTAAGAAGCTTTGAGACACCCAATATTCTTCCCCATTCCACCATGCTTCTAATAGTGGTTTTTTTCTTCTTGACATAATTAAGAAATACATCTAAACATAGTCAAACTAAAACCACCAAGAAAAAAACAAAAGCCCTAAAGTACAAGTACGGGGGCTCAGGCTAGACAGAGACGGAGCAACTGCAGTGCCTGCACCCACTTCACACTGCCGGAGGAACCAGAGGACATGCCAGTTCTGAAATAACTGTAGTGCTGCCTGCAGAAATGAAGCCAGTTTCAAAAACTAGTCATATTTGGACTACTATAAATTCAACTAGGTCACTACAATTGCCTCAAGATGTGTCAAAAAGCATACCTATCCTATCATCACAAAGCCACTTCAAGACAAACTGGCTAAGCTGAATGAATCGTGTCCACTAAGAAGTCATAACATGCTTAAAAATTTAGAACATAGTATTATGAACCATAAAACGATCTTGTTCTCTTTTCACAAAACTGCTAAAACTGTATCATAGAGAAACCTGGAGCCAGAATTAGGAAATGCCTGAAATGAGACCATCTCACAGTTCCTCAGAAAAACTCAGTAACATCAGTAAAGGTTCACCCAAACCTTTAGCCAGGCACTTCTATGTAAACGCTGTCTATATGTTTGCTTTTTTAAATCTTTACTTTTAAAAAGTCCATATACCCTTTCGGTTTTTGACTCGGAGGAAGCCTATAAGCCTTTCTTCAGTCATCCAGAATCCAGGTTCATCCAACACCAGCCATCTGCCCCATGCTGCCAAAGTTCAACCCCAACAAGATCACAATCATATACTTGAATTACACCAGTGAGGAAGTCGGTGCCATGTCTGTCCTGGTCCCCAAGATAGACTCCCTGGGTCTGACTTCAAAAAAGGTTGATGATGGCATCACCAAAGCAACTGGTGATTGGAAGGGTCTGAGGACTACAATGAAACTGACCATTCAGAACAGAGAGGCCCAGATTGAGTAGTACCTTCTGCCTCTGCCCTGATCATCAAAGCAAGAGGCAGAAAGAAGCAATTAAACATTAAGAACAGTGAAAATACCACTTTTGATGAGATTGTCAACATTGCCCAATCTTTGGGTTGAGAACGCTCTGGAATCTTAAAGAGATCCTGGGGACTGCCCAATCTGTGGACTGAAATGTTGATGGCCACCACCCTTACAACATCATAGATGACATCAACAGTGGTGCAATGGAATGCCCAGCTAGTTAAGAACTACAAAGAAAGGCCCTGGTCGGGTAGCTCAGTTGGTTAGAGTGTCATCCCAATATGGCAAGGTTGGAGGTTTGATGCCCATTCTGGGCACATACAAGAATCAACCAATGAATGAATGCATAAGTAAGTGGAACAATAAATCGATATTTATTTCTCTCTTCCCTCCCCCTCTCCAAAATCAATAAAATAAAGAACCACAAAGAAAAATATTTCAGTTAAAGATCATTTGATAACCAAAAAAAATTTTTAAGTCCATATAGCATTACTTTCAACTGTTTTTAAAGCCACGCAGGCAGCCTTGAGCTAGTGGGTCACCTGTTTCACTCCAGTACTACAGCAAGAAGAAAGCTTCCTTCCAACCCATAATGGATATCTACTCCAAGCATATCTTTAATAATGGACACTTCACAATTTCCCCAGATAATTATCTATTTGGTAGAAAGTGAACATAAGTGTTTTACTCGATTTTTAAGAACTAACTTAACACCTCCTGGGATCATCTCAACAATCATAATCATGTTCATCTTATCTTTTTATTTTGCATATACCACTTATATTTTTATGAGTCTTTAAAGCTAATCTCTACAGTCAACTCAGCAATAACAATGGGATACGTACAATGGTAAAATGCCTTCTGACTGACAATACACCACCAACTGCAGTCACTAAAAACTCTTATTAAAGGCTCCAACCTCAGTGACGTTCGTGCCCATTTTCTTTACATATTTTTATTGATTTCAGAGAGGAAAGGGAAGGGAGAGAGATAGAAACATCAATGAGAGAGAATCGCTGATTGGTTGCTTCCTGCACGCCTCCCACTGGGAACTGAGCCCACAACCTGGTCATGTGCCCTTGGCCAGGATCAAACCCGGGACCCTTCAGACTGCAGACGGACACTCTATCCACTAAGCCAAACCGGCAAGGGCTGGGCCCATTTTTGTACCCAAAGATAGGAAAGGGCTCTTTTACCTTAGTCTGACTCATCTTGCCAAGCAAGGTACTAAGCTGAACATAGTAGGCGAGGTTTTGAAAAATGAGCCCTTTGGCTTGAAAAACAAAGAGTAAATCATCAAACTGTTAAAACTGTAAGAAGAGGAAATTTGGAGATAATAAAAAGAACTAAAAAACTGTGTTGTTGTTTTTTTATGTCCTTCAACTAAAGCAAGCCAAGAAAGGAGCTCTTAAAGTGAAGAGCTATCCATTAAGGAAAATGAAGCAAGTGAAAGGAGCCAAATGGCCTTAAAGACAACTCCTAACAGATTATCAATTTTGATTTTATACTGAGCAAGTAACTGCCTCTAAAATTTACACATTTTACAGTTCACACTGTCATTTATGCTTTTGTTCCTTCCACAAACATTTGAGCACCTACAATAGGCAAAAAAATACATTTATTTCAAATCTGGATATTCAACCCTAGATGAAAGTCTGCTCCTATGTGGACAAACACTATTCCAGAGTTCAGTCAACAGGAAGCAGGGTGGCGCCTTGTTTCCTTGCATGTGAATCACTCAAGCAGGAAGCAGCAGAAAAAGTGAAGAGCAGTAATACTCAAAGTGTGGTCCCTGGGCCAGCAACATCATTTTGGGAACTTGTTAGAATTACAAATTCTCGGGCTGTCCCAGATCTAGGAATCAGGAGCTCCAGGAACAGGGCTGAGCAATCTTGTTTTAATAGGACCTCCAAGTGATTCTGATGACACTGAAGTTTGAAAGCCACTACTGCCGAGAATGGATCTTTAAAAACAAAAAAAACACTGAGCCCACCTGGTGTGGCTCAGTGATTGAGAGTCAACCTATGAACCAGGAGGTCATGGTTTGATTCCAAGTCAGGCCACAAGCCTGGGTTGCAGGCTCAATCCCCAGTAACGGGCGTGCAGGAGGCAGACGATCAATGATTCACTCATCATTGATATTTTTATGTCTCTCTCCATCTCCCTTCCTCTCTAAAATCAATAAAAATATATTTTTTTAAAACGAACACTAAGTGGTAACATTTTTTAAATTCAAGTAATGTTCATTCAAATCAGTAACACACTGAAAACTCATAATGTTAGAATGAGTTAAAACAAAAATCAAATTTTTTCATTTGGGAAAATAAACATGTCAAGAATTTTCCTAACCCTCATGTCATCCCTCCTCCCCACTACCACCACATATGTACAACCACCCTGGTCCCCCAAATTAAATTATTCACTCACATTTCCTCAGTGAAGGTCTACACTCCAAAATATTTACAGATGTTTCACCCTTGCTCCAAATCTGTTCAATCACTGATATGTGACAATTCTATCCCCACCCCAGCGGAAAAAATTTACACCCACCATCCCTCTCCATCCCAATGCCACAGAATTACCTTAGGCTGACATCATGTCTCAGGGGCACTAGTCTGCTCTGCTTTAGTAATGTTCCCTCCAACCACTGTCTCCAGAGCAATCTAACACTCAATTCTGAGTGTGTCACACCCTCTTGTTGAAAATTCTTCTGTGGCTCCCACAAACAAAATCAAATCCAAGGTATTAACCCTCCCTCTAGTCTAGCGCCTGCTCCCTTATAGTTCACACCTCAACAATACTGAATCACCATCTGTCCTCTAAATGGTCCTTGCTTTCTCTTTTCTTTGTGCTTCTGTCCAATTTGTTTCCTGGTTTCTTTGTCAATACCAACTCTTCAGTGTCTCCCTAGAGACCCAGAGGCAGGACTCTGTCTTCATTTCCACATGCCCAGCATCTAGTGCAAGGCTAGGCATATAGTGGCGGTGCTCAAGAAATACTTGTTGAATAGAGGCTCAAAAGGCTAAGAGAAAACATTTTTTAAATAAATGTCTTATATAAAAAAAGGACACCCTAGCATTAAAATCTCTTCAAATGACCACAATTACATCAAGAATAAGATATCATGGTCTTACTACCTAAAGTTCAGAGTCTTTCTTAAAGTGTAGGGTTAATATCTTGGATTTGATACTGGTTGTGGGAAAATAAAGTTCCATTGGCTACCTGAAGTCCCAATATATACAGTGAACATCATTCTTATCTGGTCTTTGCTTCATTTCAGTTAAGAACCTTCATTAATTTCTACTTAGTCCCATCGTTTTCCAATTAATAATCTAAAATTCTTAGGCATGTTGGCCAAGGTCTGATAACTTTTACTACAAGTGAAGTCAAGGTGAGCGAAGTCAACAGACACTCATATGAGCAATTATTTCTATTTAGTTGTATTGCTTGCTTCATGAAAAAAAAACAGGGGTCCATGAAGGAGGGTACAGGGAGTATATAAATAAGAAAAGGAAATGTATATTCATTTGTCTTTTTTTAATGTCATTTTAAAATACACAAAGCAACAGTACACACCCATTGTTTATAAATACAGCTCTATTAGGAGAGCAAGCTAAAAAAAAAAAAAAATTTTTTTTTACTGCTAGGACTGGACAGCCTAAAAGGTAGAACACGCAATAAACCTGGAATTGTGGCTACCTGCATTTATCATTTATCATGCATGATCAGATGAGGCAATCTTAGACCATAAGTCCAAATTCAGTCCCCATGAGGTCCTATTTACTAGTATCTTCACCAGGCACTCACCAAGTGCTGTTAAAATCCCTAGGGAGGAAACCACCTCTCCATGATCAGATAACCTTGCTGATGTGTTTTTGTGAATTTAAAGGATATTCTGAAAAAATGAAGTTTTGTTCCCATGTTTTTTAGGCAGGTATTCAAGGTGACTGAGTCAGCCAAGGGTGCCACCAGAAGCAGGCATCAAGAAATTGAAAAATTACTCAGCTCATCTGCATCCTGTAATTATTTAACCTTGTTTGCAGTAAATTCTTCCGAAAACAAGGAATTAACTTTAAGAATCGCTTATCCCAGATACCACTCAAGTGGCAATAGCTGACCAGATTTTAACTTCTAAATATCAAAAGCTTGGATGCAGAATTTCTTGGTAAAGCAAGCCCTTATAGTATTTTACTTCAAACACTTTTGTGGGAGTTGCATATCCTACCTGAATTACGGGACACGCTCTTCAATAAGGACTCAACGGGGTGTAGGCTCAGAGACAGAACTACCAATTTTTGCGCAGCCCCTCACTGTTAAAACCTTTCTGAAACACACTGATAAGATGCCAGAGCAAGCATAAGCCTCAGACAAGAGGAAAACCAACACTTAAACCTTCTGAAGGAAAACATACAAGCTTACTCAGAACAGGTGATCCTCCCCCTCAAACCTGCGATTCCATCCTCTCCACCTTGGACACCTCGGCAGCTGCTTCCTGCTGAGCTCCCCCCGCCACGCTACGGAGGCGCTTCATTTCTTGCCCTTTTCTATTCAACTCGTGGTTGCTGCACATTCATCTTACCTACGTTCATTCGTAAACAGCGGGGTATTCAAGCTACAGCTCCCTAAGTGACACATAGTATTTCTGTAAAGTCACTACGTAAAAATCAGCCGCTTGCCCTGGCCGCTTTATCACTCTGAACAGAATCCAGCACGACCCCAGACGGAGCGGTGCTGCGGGGAGGGAGCCATCCCCTGGCACTAAAATAGGATCCGGTCCACCGCCTGCCTCCCTGGGAACACCCTTTATCCGCAGGGGCCAATGCGAGCCGGACTTGTCACACCGCACAGTTCGCACAGAGCTGGGTTCTGGAGGGGGCGCATCTCGCCTTCCATCCCGTCCCGGGCCCGCGGCGAGGGGCGCCCGGGGGAGCGCGGGGGTCCGCGGGTGGCGCCGTGGCGCTGGGCGGCAGCCAGGGATGAGCTCACAGGTCCGCCGGGTGTTGCCCGCAGGTTGCATCAGACGCCGCGCGGGGCCGCCGCCCGCGACGCCGGCTGCGCGGGGCCTGCCCAGCCTGCCGGCCGCTCTGGGTCTCCTCGGGCTGGGCCCGCGCCCACGCGAGCGGCGGGCTCCGCCGCGGCCTCCGCCTCGTCCTCCTCCAGCCCGCCCGCCCGCGGCCTCCTTACCTGCGCCTCCAGCCCGCCCGCCCCCAGGCGGCCTCCACTCCGAGCGGCCCCGCGCGGCGCGGCCCGACCCGACCCAGGCCTCGCAGCGAGGAGGAGCGACGGTTACGAAACCTGCAGCCTCCGCCCGTTCCGCAGCCACCAGCTTCCCTTCCTCGCCGGGGCCGCGCGCGCTACCGCCGCCGCACGACCAATGGGAGCGTCGACCTGCAGGCGACGCGCCCGCCCCTCGCAATGGGCAGCACCACCAGCCAATCACAGGCGGCCTGGCTGCGGGAGGCGGGCACGTGGCGGAGGCGTTGGCCAAGGCGGGGCGGGGCTGGCGGGCGTGGTGGGAGCAGATGGTCGCTGGGCCCGCGGTAACCTCGCAGTTCGCGCGGGGCGGCCGCCTGGAGCTGTGGGTTCCCCGCCGTGAGAAAGGTTCTGTGGAAGTTGGAGAAGCGTAGCTTTGTGCAGGCAGCGTTCTCTTTGGAAAACACGATGTCCTGAGGTGATTGAATCACCGAGCTCTGTTTTGCTTTCACCGCGTCCTCCGGCAGTACCCCACCCCACCCCCCACCCCCGCAGTCCCCCCTCAGCGCCCCTGCGGGGACAGCCCCAGAACCGCTCATCAGACTCCCCTCCTGGGACGTGGGCGCTGCCGACGCCAGACCGCCCAGGGCCCGCGCCCCTCGGGTGGAGCCTGGAGAGAAGTCCTGGACCTCAAGGCAGTGAAGGCAACTTCGGACTTGAAAAATAAATGAAGCAAAATTGTCCCGGCGTAAGATTAGTGTGGATGTCACCTTGGTGACCGCTGCAGACTGTGGTTCGTTGTTGGGAGAAACGAATTGACGTTTCACGAGGATTTCGGTGTCGTATCTGAAGGGGAACAGATTGAGAGACGAGATCTCAAAAAATGAATGGCAGTCCACTTTATCGAAGTCGATTCACTGGAGGATCTGAGAGCGTCTTTACACCAGGAAGCGCGCCCGGGAGAACGGAGCCCTCACGATGGGTTTGATTGCTTCCTCTTTAGCAATTCTTATCGTCCAAACAGTAGAGTCTTTGAAAGAGGAAACGTTTCTTCATCGCCCAGGCCATAGGGACCAACCAGCTCTCCGCATAAGACTGTTTCGAGGAATCGGGAAAGAGATGATAAAACATTTGCAAAAGTAAAGATTAAAAGGGGCTGCAACTAAAGGTAAACAATGATAGCCATAGAAGCACACTTGGCAGAATGACTCATCATTTCACTTATTTCCATAGAGTGGAGGGAAAATTTTGTAATTTGAAATCTCTTGTTTGAAAGCCGGATCAATAAAAGTGTATTATGCAAATCTGACTTTATCTTCAGTGTGTCTTAAATATTTAGCATAAATGTGTATTTGGAAAACTTCAGAAAAATTAATATACCCAATTAACCACCTTTCACAGGAGATCTGAAACGTATCCATAATATTTTGAGAACTGAGATATCTGTCCGTTTTGAGTCTCAGTAGATATTTATTGTGGTACATGAGCAATAATAAAGCAGTAGTTGTCAGTCATTAGTAGGACACTTTTGACTAGAAGTAACTGAAAACCATCCCTGACTAGAGTTAGCATAAAGAAGGACTTGGTCAAAGATTTTAAGACGCACTTCATGCAATACCCAGGAGGCATCAGGACCACGAACTCAAAGGCTCAAGTGTCTTCATGTTCGTCTGTGTGTGCATGTGTTTGTGTGCCTATTGGTTTCATTATTCTTTCTGCCTGCACACAAACTTTCTTCACATGACCCCTGACTAAATAAAGGCTAACTCTCTTTTTAGTTCTTGTTACATAGTCCTTCCAGCGGTTCTCAACCTGTGGGTGGCGACCCCTGAAAATACATCCTGCATATCAGATATTTACATTACGATTCATAACAGTAGCAAAATTACAGTTATGAAGTAGCAACGAAAATAATTTTATGGTTGGAGGTCACCACAAAATGAGGAACTGTATTAAAGGGTCGCGGCATTAGGAAGGTTGAGAACCACTGCTAGGCAAAGACTCTGGGATTGGGTCGGCTGGGCTAAATGCTCCTACCTGGAATGATCGAATGGCTGGGAGCATGTCACGATGTACTAACCTACCCGCTATGGAGGTGATGGCAGAAGCACTCCCCAGAAAAGGGAGTGCTAAGCAGACAAATCCATCAATACCCATTTCAAATGTCAGACCACACTGTCGTCACTGACGGAGCCTTAGTCACTCTGCTGATTGATTTGTTCTTTCACATGTGATATGATCCCATCCTTGAGGGCAATATTTAAACCTTCAATTTTGCCTGTGGAACCACTATTGGAATCATAATAGCTAAGAGGCTAGATGGTTGTCTTAGGACATCCCCAAATTTCATAAGTGGGCCCTATTCATGAAAGAGAAAAATCTGACATAGTTTAGACTTGAACAGTTAGCAAATAACGGTGAATGTCCATTATACAACACTTTTCCATGTGTCAGATTTTTGTGATCCCATGAGTTAAGACATACGATCTGTGCACTTACGAATAATAATAGTACATGACATCTGTGCACAGGAGAATCGCTGTGTGCTGTGTGAGCAGATGAAGATAGGTACAGCTCGTTGCTGCATCACCTGTGCATTGGAGGCTAGTGCCTATAGTCTGTGCATACAAGGATAGGTACATGTCATCTGTGCACCTAAGAGGGTTGTGGCATCTGCGCACATCAGGAGAGGTCATTTGTATCTTTTGTGGGCCCAGAAGGGTCATATTCTTATATCTTCACTGAATAAGCACTGATTACCTGTTACAGAATTATTGTAATTCAAATTATTCCAGTGCCTATGAAGAACAAAACTGACAATAAAAGAGGGTGGGTTTGGAGGGTTTGTTGTTTGTTTGTTTGTTTGTTTGTTTGTGATATATACCAAGTGTACCGGTTAATAATGCAGATTTTGTAATAAAAGAAAACACAACATTTAAAGAGAATCATCAAAAGTGCTTTATTCAAAGTAATGTCCATCACTAGCTACACATTTCCCCCATCTTTCAGGTAATTTGTGGATACTGTCCCAATAGAACTTTCCTTGTTTTGAGGCAAACCATTCAGAGACCCAATTTTCTACTTCTTCGTACGTTTTGAAGTGCTGCTCAGAAAGTGCATGTGCCATTGATCGGAACAAGTGGTAATCTGAAGGAGCAAGGTCTGGTGAATACGGCGGGTGGGTTAATACTTCCCAGACAACAGCTTTTAATGTGTCTTTAACTGGTTTTGAAGTGTGTGATGGTGCGTCATCATGAAGCAAAATTACTTTGCATGTCTTCTGGCCCATTCTGGTCGTTTTATGATCAAAGCGTGGTTCAAATTGATTATTTGTTGTCAGTAGCGATCAGTATTAATGGTTTTACCTGGTTTTAGAAGCTCATAATACACCACACCTTCCTGATACCACCAAACACAGAGAATTGTCTTCTTTCCAAAGCAATTTGGCCTTGCAGTCGATGTTGATGGTTGACCTGGATCAACCCATGATTCTGTGCGTTTGGGGTTCTCAAAATAAATCCACTTTTCATCACCAGTCACAAGTCGATGCAAAAATGACTTTCTTTCGTGCCATTGAAGCAACATTTTACTGATGCCTTTTCAGTTTCCCATTTGTCTTCCGTTCAGTTGATGTGGCACCCATTTTCCTTCCTTTAAAATCTTTCCCATTGCTTGTAAACGATCGGAAATTGTTTGCTGAGCAACGTTTAATCTATCTGCAAGTTGTTTTTGAGTTTGACACGCATCTTCATCCAATAATGCTTGTAATTATTGGTCTTCAAACTTTTTCAGTTAACCTGGACGTTCTTTGTCTTTTACATCGAAATCATCACTTTTAAAGCATTTAAACCAGCGTTCACAAGTATCTTGAGATGGAGAATGTTCACCATAAGCTTCCTGAAGTATACGATAACTTTCAGCAGCACTTTTCTTCAAAATAAAGTAATGAATTAAAACTTCCCCCAAATGCTCTTTTTTTGGCACAAAATCCGACATTTTTAAGCGTAAAAATATCTATGATGTTAACACCTTCAGCAAATTTGACATGTGAAGTTTTGAAGCTTGTTGTCAATACAACAAAATAGCATACACATCAAATTGCAACTTCATCCTTAAGGCCTTGGCCATTGCACTTGTCCACTTACCATCAAGATTGGACAGGGAATCCCCCTTGCAAAAGAAATACAGAAAAAATAAACCAGAAATTAAGGAGACTGGTTACCTACACGGGTTGGAGGGGAGTTGGGTAAAAAAGAATGGGGAGCTGGTTTGGCTCAGTGGATAGAGCATCAGCCTTCGGACTGAAGGGTCCCAGGTTCAATTCCAGTCAAGGGCACATGCCCGGGTTGTGGGCCCGATCCCCAAGGTGGGCCTGATTCCCAGTGGGGGGCGTGCAGGAGGCAGTCAATCGATGATTCTCTCTCATCTTTGATGTTGTTATCTCTCTCTCTCTCTCTCTCCTCTCTGAAATCAATAAAAATATTTTTTTTTAAAAAGAATGGGGAGTGGGAAGAGGGTGTGAAATCAATAAAAATATTTTTTTTAAAAAAGAATGGGGAGTGGGAAGAGGGTGGAAGGGATGAGGGAAGAGTGAGACCTCTGTGAGTGCAACTTTTTGTGTAGCTTTGACTCTGAGAACCATGATAAGGTTTCACACACCTCCGAAATAGTTAACACCAACTGGGTGTTACGTGGTTATGGTAGCAATTCTGAAACTATCTTATGTATGTGTTAAGATTGAGCAAATAAGTAAATACATTTGGATAATAACGGCAAGTTTCTTCTTGTTGGAGAAAGGAGTTACCAATAGGAAAGAGGAAGACTAAAATGAATCCTGTGGTGTTGGACTGGAATCAGAGGTTATCAGAATGAATGTGGTTTGTAATATATGCACAGACTGATAGAGAAATAGATGGATGTGTGTAGGTGTGTGA